CGTCCTGATATTTCTTATGCTGTCAACAAGGTGTGTCAGTATTTGCATGCTCCTAGTACTACTCATTGGACTGCAGTCAAGAGAATTTTGAGGTACCTTAAGTTTTCAGAGGGACTTGGACTTCAAATTACCAAGTCTTCTTCTATGCTTGTTACTGCCTACTTTGATGCAGACTGGGTAGGGTGTATTGATGATAGAAGGTCAACTGGTGGATTTGCTGTATTTCTGGGATCCAATCTTGTTTCATGGAGTGCAAGAAAGCAGGCCACAGTCTCTAGATCGAGTACTGAAGCTGAATACAAAGCTTTGGCAAATGCCACAGCTGAGGTAATGTGGATACAAACATTACTTTATGAACTTGGGATTGAGACTCCAAGGGCTGCCAGACTATGGTGTGATAACATTGGTGCAACTTATCTGTCAGCTAATCCTGTTTTTCATGCACGCACAAAGCATATTGAAGTGGATTTCCACTTTGTCAGAGAAAGAGTAGCTAGGAAGCTAGTCGAGATTCAGTTCATTCCTACTAGAGATCAACTCGCTGATGGATTTACAAAACCCCTCACAATGAGGAAGTTAGATGATTTCAAGTTCAATCTCAACCTTGGTCGAAGTCCATGAGGTTTAGATTGAGGGGGAGTGTTAGAATATGTATAGGAATAGATCATTCAAATTGTAATCTATCCCTATCTCTCTTTCTTCCTCTCCTCGGTAACCTTCTGTACCGATCCAAACCAAACTGATCGATCTCCTGATCTTCTTGTACTCCAAGGCTTTGCCACTATATATAAACATGCGGCCCGAGACAAAGGGTTCAACGCTTCCAACCCAATTTACACAAAGGTCCAGGCCGGGTCAGCCCATTAGTCCCGGTTCAGTCCAGCACCGGGACCCATGGGGGCATTGGACCCTGTTCGTGAGCCCCGGAGGCCGGCCGGGCCACGTGGGCCATTGGTACCGGTTCGTCTGGACCTTTTGGTCCCGGTTGGTGGGACGAACCGGGACCAATGGGCCTCGCTCCTGGCCCACCACCGACCACCAGATCTTAGGACGGCCCAACCCTCCCCCTCCCCTCCCTCCCGCGATGCTCCCGCGAGCGCCGGGGGGGGAAACCCTAGCGCCGCCTCCAGCTCCCCCCCTCCACCTTCTCCCTCCCCTCGCCGCCACCTCGACGTACTGGCGTCAAAGCCCGACCAATGCTGGCGCGGCGGGGCACTTTCCTTTCCCTGCTCGGCCCAGCGGGCGCGGGTCTCCTGGTCGGGCGGCGGCACAACGTTGGCTCGGGGCGTGGCGGCGCGGCGGCAGCAGTCGGCGGCGGAGACGCGGGCTGTGGGCGGCGGCGTGAAGGGGCTGTTGCAGCGATGGTGCGCGGTGGGCTCCGGCGGCGACAGATGGCCAGATCTGGGCCCAGGCGGCGTGGGCCGAGGGCGGCGTGGGCTGCGGGTGTCCGCTTCTTCCGTGGCCGCGGCTGGTGGTGGTGGAGGCGCAGCGGCGGTGGCTGGTGGGCGTGCTGGTCGGGATCCAGGCGTCCCGCCGGCTGGACGACGGCGGCAACGCAGATGGGCTCCCCGGTGAGTTTTCTTGGTGGTCAGTGGCGGTCCTTGGGGGTCCTCCTCGCCAGTGGCCGGGTCTGCGACGGTGGCTTTGCGCTGTTCTGTGACGGCTGCTGAGATGGGGCGGCACGGGGGTGTGTCCGGTGGGGAGGTTGGCTGGAGGGATGGGCGGCGCCAACGTGCTCGGGTCACCCGTCACTGGCACAGGGGTGTGCCGGTCCAGATGCGTCCGCTCCCTCACCTCCCCCTTTCCCCAGCCTCGTGCAGGTTGTTGCAACTCCGGCGATGCTCAAGGCGGGTCGTCTGCCGCGGGACATCGGTCGGGGGTGTCCCTCTGGTACAAAGCTGCCCTCTTTGGATGGTCTTGGGGGTGCCTGGATGTTGGGCGGCGGCCCTAGTGGAGGGAGGCGTGGTGTTCGAGGGCGGAACCTGCGTCTCAAGTGCGGGCGGGTAGCCATGGCTTCGTGGGGGGCTTGGCTGCGGGTGGTGGGCGGAGCGGGGGTGTCGGAAGGGTGTGATCGCCGGGGTCCATCACTTGCCCAGTCCTCGTACTGGCCGGCCGCGGCAGCGTCCACGGACATCATATCCTTCTTGAAGGCTCCGTCGCGGTGCTCCCACTCATCCGTGTGGCTCCGGGTGAAAACTTGATCTTCGGATCGGACGGTGGCGGCTATCCGTGCTTCTGGGAGGCACCGTCCTGGAGTCCTTGCTCCGTCATTGTCCGTCTCACCCCTCCTCGGTGGCTCCAAGTAGTTCTTCTTCGTTCATATCTAGTTTGCTTGGTTGTCGTCCGAGTGGTGTGTCGGTGCCCGGCACCTTTGTATCTTGCCTTGGGTGTGTGCTGTGTATCGTGGTGGGTGTGTTTGTATCGGTTCGCTGGGATGCTTGTGATGATGTTTGCTTTATAATATAAAGCGGGGGGCAACCCTTTTTCGGTAACAACATATATAACATAAATCTTAGACAAGCCCTCCCACTTTATTTTTTGCATGGTAAAGAGCCCTCCCACTTTCAACTGCATCCTGCATCACAGAACCTTTCTCTCACACACACGTACACGTACACATGTCCGCTTTGCGCTGGGGGCTTCAACATATAACATCAATAAACAATAAACTTGGAAGCTGTGTAATTTTCTTTCTCTAATGCATTCAGACATGTTGATCTGGAAGAAGGGATGAACATTGCGGAGACTGACACTGACACTGGATTGTAACTTGGATGACTGCAGTCTTGTGTTTCAGCTGAATCTCTGCAATACAAGTACGTATTATTCAGTGTGTAGGCAATTTTGATCTGCTACTAGGCGAATCTCAATGGGTAATTTCAGTATTAGCTTTCACTTTTACTGAAAAATCCAAACATTTATATGAACGTAGTGCTGAATGCCAAAGCTAATTTTCTTTCTCTAATGCTGATCTGTTGATTGGTAAGGGATGAACACTGCGTTGCGGAGACTGCCACTGGATTGCAACATTAGAATGTTGTCTCCCTAAGGGGAAGGGGATTTAACATTTTTGCACATTGTATGCATTGGTTACTACAACTCTACCGAAGGGCTATCTGTGCTTAGAATCCATCAACATTTTCTACCTTGGCCAGTCCTCTGTTCCACACTTACACTAGACCATCTCTCAACTGCTACCTTTTGAGGATTTCATAGGCGTCTGGGCATAGAAGAGCTAATCCAGCAGCGCAACAACGTCTCCATATAGAAAAATTAGCACTACTGCTGCTTCCAGTGGGCAAGATATATATATTCCACTCCGCTTCCTTGTAAATAGTGCTTCAGTTATTCCCGAACAGTAACCATGTCTTCTCGTTGTGTTGTCCAAAAACCTGCCACATCCTCTGGTTCTGTGAAGAAAGGAAGCAACTATCAGATGCAACCAAATTCAGTGAAACCGGCAACATGGATGCAACCATATTTAAAAATGAAAAAGGAAAAAGATAGATGCAAACAAATTCAGTGAAACTGGCGACATGGATGCAACCATATTTAAAAATGAAAAATGAAAAAGATAGATGCAACCAAAGTTGCTGGCAAGACAAATTCTCTCACTAACAAAAAGCATAATACAACTGTTATTCACCACGTACCTCTTGGGAGTTTAGCTGCATACCGTTTTATCAATGAATCCTAAGGCGCCATGGCTGCTTTACATTAATTTGGCTCTTTGCAGACCCATATGGCACAAAAGTTTCTATCCTAGCTCCATCGCCTTTTCATGATCAAAATTTTGAAATTCACATTAAGTAGTACTTCAGTTTCCATTGAGCGCTATGCCGCTATGTATACTTGTCTAAAATCGGCCGCATGCTCAGGTTTTGTGGAGAAAATGAAGGGACAGTAACTTGAGTAGGCACGTAGCCTGCAACTAACCTTATAAAGCATTATGGAGAGAAATGATCATGAAGTTAATCAAATTTCCAGACGACTAGTAAACATACCGAAAATAAGCCTCAGCAGCAGACCAGGTGTTCCCTACAAAACATGAACAAGGACTAGACTTAACATCGTGTGGCAGAGAAGCCTACAAAGGAATACAGGTGTTTCATTTTCCTCGGTAATTTCCCCACTGCTTCATGTCAAAAACATTATATACAATGAACTGTGAACACAAAATGGTCACCATATTCCCCCTTGAGTAGGTATGTTTGGTCCCTCCTCCTTTTTCCGGGCTTGGGACCGGCTAAGGAACATGATGTGTAACATCTATA